TAAATATATTTAAATATCTTTAATAAATTAATATAATGTAATACTTATTTATATATATATAAAGAGATTTATGTTTTATAAGATAAATTATATATTAAAAATTTAATTTGCCTTATAAATATATTTAAATATCTTTAATAAATTAATATAAGAAATAATTTTATTAAAAATATTTAAATAAATTTATAAGATAGATTATATTTTTAATATATAATTTATCTTATAAAATATTTTTTAAATATAAATAATAATTAAAAACTTTTATTAATCAAAGAAAATTACTTAATAAAAATTATATTAAAAAATTAATTATCATTTATATATTTTTGTTATTATCTCACCTAAAATTGACATGCTAAAAATAAAAGAAATTAAATTAAAACAATTAAAATTGAATGGAAGGACAATTGAAGCCCACACAGAGGCTTAATCCTCGTAGACGGTTCTTAACAATTTATCTTTACTGATATCCTTCCCAGAAAAGATGCAAATAAAGATATCAATATTATCAATGTTGTACATTTTTTTTTATTTAAAAATATTAATTTTATTAATTTTTAAATAAAAATGTTAATTTTTAATTTTTTTATTAAAAAATATCAACTTTCAATATATTGATTAAAAAATATATTTGTCACATTATTATTATCTAATTAATCATTAAATAAAAAAATAAAAGTTAATATCTTAAAATTAAAAAAATAAAAATCAACATTTTTATTTAAAAACTAATAAAATTAACTTTTTTAAACAAAAAATTATAAAATTAATATTCTTATTTATATCTTTTTTTTTTCTTGACCTTACCAGTTGCCACAGTTGCTCACAAAAAATGCATATTGCAAAACTTGCATCACTTACCCTAGGCATACGAGTGCCAGCGCACTTTCCTTTCTTTTTCTTTTTTGAAACTTTTTTAAAGAAAAAAAAAAAACCTCATTTTAAAAAAATTACATGCAACGATATACTTTACAACAATATCCATGAATTTAAAGATTAGATTCTTCCCAATTATGCCGATAAAGAAAAAAAAAAGATTCTTCAGAATTGTTATAACTTATCTACTTTTTAGATCTTGAAGTCCAAAGGTGTTGCCACGATCCTTTATTCCTTATACATAAGAAATTAACTATTTAGTAGTGGGTGTTTGGGTTAACAATTTAAATGTAATTATATCTGATAATTAATAATTATTTTTTTAATTTAAAACATTTAATTTATTTGATTAAAATTATTAGCCAATAACTGTCTTTGAAATACCGAGATAAACGCCCCATAATGGAAATCCTTGAACACTAAGTTTAACTTTAAATTATAGTAGGTTACAGCTTAGCTAATTAAACTCCATTTGGTAGGGACGAAATTAGCAGTATTTGTTGGTTAAAGTATGCATTTAATCTCTTACTTTATTAAGTTTGAAATTTTTAACCCTTCATCTTCTAGTATAAAATCTTTTATCCCTTAATTTGAAAGTTTAAAAATTTTAGTTTCTAAATGAATGAAATACATTAACTCTCCATTAAAGTAAAAATAAAATATTTATAGAATCAATTCTCCAAAATTAAAAATGTAACAATTTAGTTTAAAAAATTTTTAAATTAAAAAAATTAGTAAACTTAAAAGAATTAATAAATGAGTTATATATATAATAAAACAATATTAAATATCTATAATAAATTGAGCGATTAACTCAATTTGAACTAAAATTAAAGAAAACTTGTTAGTTGAGTTAAGATAAAAAGTTTAAGAGATTAAAATAATATATTTAAAAAATTTTCTTTAATCTTAATCTAATTTTTTTTTTAGATTCAGTTAATCACTCGATTTGATTGTAGATATCTAATACTGTTTTGATGTATGTGATAAAATCATTCACTAATTATTTTTAATTTATTAAATTTTTTAATTTAAAAATTTTTAGAATTAAATTATTACATTTTTAATTATTGAAAATTGATTTTATAAATATTTTATTTTTATTTTATTTGAGAGTGAACAGATTTTATTAATTTAAAAATTAAAATTTTCAAACTCTTAAGTTCAAGAGTTAAACACTTTATAATATAAAGTAAAAAATTAAAAACTTTAAACTCATAAAAATAAAGAGTTAAATACATTTTTTAGCTGTATTTGTCTGTAGTTGGTAGTTTGTCACATTTAAATATTTAGGACCTAACTCACTCAACTTTATCTTATGAAACACTTCTCCAAAAATTGGTTTTATTTTCATTTTTTAATGATGAAGCACATCTTCTTTCTCATATGATGGAGTCTCTTGAGGATTAAAGAATTGCACGCGTCATGTCTAAGTTTTTGTTCTCTAATTAGGGATGGCCTCCTTTTAGTTTTTTTTCTCCCTCCTCGGAACAAAGCGAGTTCCATTTTTTAACCCAAATCAAAGTGGTATAATAATCTTGTCCATTCTTTTTTGACTCAATGGTCATTCGTTCGTTCATGTAGGCACTCTAAGGATCAAAGAACGAAATGTGTGCTTACTTTTGCAAGTAATGACCATTATCATGACAAGAAAAAGTCTTCAGTGCAATCAAGAATCTTTTAATTTGTCAAAAAAGTTTGACAACCCATTGCGTGTAAGAACACTTAAAAAAAAGAAGAAGCAATAATAGAGAGGAAGAAAATTTAGAATGAAAATTTAAAATTAATGATATAGTGTAAATTATATTATTAAATTAATTAATATATAATATTATAAATTAAAAGATAAAAAAATTAATTATTAAATAATATATAATTTACTTTTTAATTTTTTTAAATAACGTGACATAACATTTTATATCACACTATTAATCTCATATTTTAACTTTAAATTTTAACTTTATTCATCATTATCCAAAACAAAAAGAAGAAGAAGAAACAAACAAGAGTAGGTATGGAATGGCTGTTGCCGCAAATAAAATGAAATTGTTAACCTCAAAAAAAAAAAAAGTATTCGAATCAAGTGAAGAAGTCGTAAAATTAAGTGAAAAAGTCGTAAATTCACTTGACTTACGGCTTTTATGATAGTTTTATTTGCAACGATAAGCACAAATTGACCTAACAAATTATTTAATGACAAATTGCTATTTGGCCAAAAGAAAAAGGAGGCAAAAATTATATAATTGTAATATTAAGTGATATTTACTTTTATTGTGTTTCATTATGTAATCAATTTTTTTTTATTTAAGATTTATTCATATTGTTATATGAATTAATTTATTTAATAATATATCATGATTATAAATTTAAAATTAAATATAATATTAATTGTAACTAACTACATTATTATCGAACAATGTCCCTTAAGAAATGTCTTAATCGTTAAAAATTTGAATTTTTTTTTATATTAGAGATCTCAAATTTAATGATGAGCAATAAAAAATTTGATAACTAAAAAAAAATTATCTCTTATTATATAATTTAATATTTAACATAAATATATATATATATATACATATATATAAACAAAAAAGAAATACAAATCTTTGTATGGGCTGGAGTAGGAAGCCACAAAATTAATTAGGCTTAGGCTTAAAGAGATTTCAATGGACCAATTGTAGGGCCACTTTTGTTCTCTTTTGAACTGAGCTTAAGAGCCCAAAAACCTTAACGGGCCATTGGACCATGTAAGAGCTCCCTTCAAAAAACCCAGGTCTGTTTCGTCATTTCCATTCATTGCTCCCAAAACCCTAGTTTTGATGCCTCTTATTACTCCCATTTTTCTTCATTTCTCAACTCGCGTCGCCTCCTCCTGCTTCCCCAGTCTCCTCCCAAAACCCTAGTCCTGGTGCCCTGAACAGCCGTCTGCAGCATCAACCATGCCGCCGAAGTTCGATCCCACCCAGGTGGTGGACGTCTACGTCCGTGTTACCGGAGGAGAAGTGGGTGCTGCCAGTTCTCTTGCTCCCAAGATTGGTCCCTTGGGTCTTTCCCCCAAGAAGATCGGAGAAGACATTGCCAAGGAGACTGCAAAGGATTGGAAGGGTCTCCGCGTCACTGTCAAGCTTACTGTTCAAAACAGACAGGCTAAGGTCACGGTGGTTCCATCTGCCGCCGCACTTGTTATCAAAGCACTCAAGGAGCCGGAGAGGGATCGCAAGAAGACCAAGAACATCAAGCACAATGGAAACATTAGTCTTGATGATGTCGTCGAGATCGCCAAGGTCATGCGGCCCAGATCCATGGCTAAAGATTTGCAGGGTACCGTGAAGGAGATTCTGGGCACTTGTGTTTCTGTTGGGTGCACCGTCGACGGGAAGGACCCAAAAGATCTCCAGCAGGAAATTACAGATGGTGATGTTGAGATACCCGAATGAAGTGAGGAATTTCTTTTCTCTTTGTTACTAAGTTAGTAGTTTTGTGTTTTCAATTCAGTTTTGGATATTTGTGATGAGGATATTATTATGCTTTAAAGCAAGTCTCCAAGCTATGGATTTTGGAACAAATTGATGAAATGTGGAAGATTTAAGCTTTACTTTCATGTTAGAGTTTCTGCTCTCTTGATAACGATGGAACGTCTATCAGATGTTAATCAGTAAATGTGGTTCCTAGTGATGCTTTCAATTTGCTATTTCGGGTTGTTTCCTGTGCTGAATTGTTGAAATGGTAATAGAATTTTAGAATTTTAGAATTTTGTATGTTTTCTGTGTTGCATTGTTTAATGATAATAGAATTATGGAAAGAATATGATTTATCTTGGCACGCAAAAGGTGGAAGTGCAAAATTACGCAGGAAGTGTTTGGTTTACTGACTTTTGATGTGGCAAACTTTTAAGAAGAAAGTATGTACTGATTTGGGATGCTTGTTGTAATTGGTAGTTTTATGAACACTAATATGTCACATTTAACCTATATATTATTTTTTCAGTACTGTAAGTGATGTACTAGTATTTGTGTTTAAGCTTCACTTGGGCACTAGAATTATACCCAAATAGTTAGGTTTTTTAGAGATACCTCTGTGTCTTCATGGCTGTGGAAAACCTTTTCTTGTTTTATAGGCTTTGTTTGGTTTTGCTATTAAGGAATTGTAATAGCCGATATTTGGAGATTAAGTTTTGATTTTCTACTTCAATCCACAAAATCCCTTCGTAGTGCTAACCACTGAAGGCATATAGTACCGTATATTGAATTGGGTACTGCTTTTCTTTTGAGGTTTATCTTAGACTTTCTTGGTTGGGTTAAATCTCACCAAAACCATGCAATTGAGCTGAGTAAGTAAATAACTTTGGGGAAGAGATGCATGTTCTTGTTGGTCTACCTTTCAAACATCTAAGATATTTTAGTTAGAGCGATTAAGACTTAGGGGGGTGTGCCTTCAAATTTCCTCTTCAGTTTGTCCCTTGGATGAAATCTATTTTGCTCTAGTAGCTTGCCTCCTATATCATGTTTTAAATTTTGTTCTCACCTATTATGTTCCTTTCTACATTCAATTAGCTTGTTTTGATTGAATCCAAGGAAAAATCTTACATGCTAGTTTAATCTGGGATGTCCACTTGGTACTAATAACAGCGACGTACAAACATTAGCTTTCCCTTAATATTTGTATTTTGTACAGTTGTATGCTTCTATATCCATAATTTTGTCCCACGGTTTCGGGAATGTTCTCAAGTCCAATTCCTTTCTTCCCCCAAACTGCATTCAATATTGTAGAATGCCACGGGGACTACGCTCTACCGTTTGTTATCCGGGACCGATAACAACTCTGTTTTTTCTTCTCTTGATATTTTTAATGACCTCTTCGGAAACCAACGCTATATAATGGCCTACGAATTCCTTTTTCTTCAAATCAATTCCTCACAATTACTTTGGTCGATCTCGCTTCTTCCCAGGACTTGGAGGAAGAGAGACATCCATTCTTAGTTTGCTCTATTCTCTTCTCGTGACGCAAACCTCTTCTGACCGTTATCCATACGAATTCGCATGGCAAAGGGAAGCAGCAAGTTACAGTCGTGGATGGAGGTAGCTCCGGCTCCTATCATTTATCCTCAAAAACCTTCAAATTCTCCCGGTTTGGAGACCATTGCGGAAGACGATGCTGAAGAAGAATACGGTGAGAATTCAGAAATTTAGGAAAGATGAGTTTTAGGAATCTCTCCTAATCGTATCAGACTCTTAGTAGACATAGAACTTAAGGAATAAACAGAGAGCTGTGAGCGATGTGATCGCATGTAAATTTGCTCTTTATGTATTTTGTAGTGATCCCTCTTTTAAAGAATGTAAGTGTTACTTTGTTCTCGTTGTCAGTATTTCCTAACGAGTAATGATTTATGGGATAAAATTTTGGGATGAAAATTTTTCAGTCACTGATCATGTGAGCCCCTTACTTGACCAATGGCTGCAAAAAAAATTCGTACCAATTTTTTATCCATCCATCAGTTCACTTTCCTAAATTACAGTTTTCTTTGGAAATACATTGAAATTGTAAATTAATTTTTCCAATAGAGAAAGAAGATTCCACTGGTAGAAGCTGAGCATGAACATTAGCAACCCAAATAGCCACCCTATTTACAATTTGTAGGAATAAAATTAAAAGACACAAATTCCAGAGGAGAATATGTTTTACTATCTGAATTATATCAGTTTATAAAAATAAAAAATAAAATAAAAATTTATTAAATGAAGAAAAAACCTTTAATATTAAAAACTTTAACTTTCGTCTGATAATTAATATTAGAATAATGATACAGGAAACAAATCTTGTGGGATGAAATTGGAGGACTGCTTACGTGAACAAATCGTATTTAAACGTCCAATGCACTTGCCACGTAAACATACATGTATAACCTTATTTTTAGGAGGGATTATTTGTCTTTGTAAGTGATTCTCTAATTTCGTCCCGCAAGATTCGTTCCCTGTATTATTATTTTTAATATTATATAATACAATTCAATTCAAAATATACAATACTTTTTCAATCCAGAACATGAGAATGACAAGAGAAATAACTCATAAATACACACAATTCTCTCTTATCTCTTAACCACTTTATAAATTTTAGCTTCCAAACGAAAGAAATAACTCAATTTCGAAATTATAACTTCCGAATAAAACAAATTATAGGAGTCGAATTTAGAATTCTCAACTTTCAAACGAAACAAAATATCATTGGGTCAGATGGTCATTACCACAACTTGTTATATTTCTCAGTTGCGCTGTTAAAGGAATTTTGGGAATTTTTATTTTGATGGCAGTGGGATCTCCTAAATTTGGCTCGTACAGTTGTCAGTGTTTTCCACGTTGCTTCGTTTTTTTTCTCAGAAGCTTCCCTCAATCACTTCGCATTTGCCACATGGGCTTTTGGCTTTTGCTTGACGCGGCAGCAAAGCAACCATTCCATCTTCATTGTATCCAATTCAGAGTTATATTTCAAAGGAGACATATCCTCCACATTAAAATCATACCAAACAAATTATTGAACTCGAGTTCGTCATCTTCTTCAATCAGCTGGCTTGTTCTTCTGGAATTATTGAGAAGGAAGTGATTGTAGTTCAGCAGGGCAATACATCGGGGAGTACTGCAATGGCTAAGGGAACTGGATGTCTGAATTCTTGGGTTGAAGTTGCTCCAGCAGTTCTAATTTCGCAACCCAAAACTTCAATTTCTCCTGCCTTGGAAACCATCAAGGAAGAGGAGTCCGAGGAATTAGATCAAGACTTGCAGGAATTTTGACGGTACTCAACAACCATTTCCTAAAGCCTCTGGTTCTGATGTACTCATAAAGCTATGTGCCTGAATCTGAGGCTCTTTTGTCTTCAATTTTTTTCCAGAGGAACGACGTCTCTGTAACAAACAATAGAATTCTTGCAATTACCTTTTTTATTCAGATGCAAATAAATGGAAATTTAATTTTATGCAATTTAATTTGTGAACGGTGGGATGATGATTGACTCTTTCTTGAGAGATTTTTATAAATTCTTTTAAAATAAAGAATGAAAATTTACTTCTACGTTCTTTAGCCTCCTTTTCTGCTAGAATTGGAATTTAGGTTTGTGAGTTCTTTGAGAATTGCTCTCATTTCCCTTCAGCGAAATTTCTATATTTCCTTTTAAATTCATCCATCCATAATCTACTCTTTTAGTTTTGATTTTCTTTTTCTTTTTGTTTAGATTCTATTCCATATTTCTTCATCTTCTCTATTGGAAAAAAAAAAAAAAAAAAGAGAAGCAAAAAAGCCAAAACAAATCTTCGAAAAAAAAAGAAAAAAATCATGGGCAAGTCGCAATTCTTGAAAGTTTGCTGCTTTTTGTTCTTTGCATGCTTGGCCGGCAATGGTTTTTGTGTTTCGGCTGCCGATTGTCTGCGTTTTGGTTTTGTGTATTGGAGTGCGGTACAATGGAGCAAGGTCACAGGTTTGTTTTGGGTAAATTTGGTGAAATTCCATTGAATTTGTTCTTTACTTTTGAGCTAGATTATATGGTGGAGGGCTGCTGTGTTACTATGGACCCCAATCATACAAATTCCAATGGTATTGGTGGTCAAAGATGCATGTTTAGGAGATTTTTTTTAAAGATTTTGTTTTTTAAGTTCTATTGAAACACGTTTTTATTTAAAAATATCATTTGGTCACGCAAAAGGAGAAAGAAGAAGAAGAAGAAGATACCAATTTTTGGGGTTACTCTTATGCTTAGTGAAATAATAATATTTATATAGTAGAATTGTGAAAGGAGACTATTATGCTACCAAATTACTTACCTTCCTTGTTGAAGTTACTACAAGTAGTGAAATTATTATTATTATTATTTTTTTTTAACATATTTTGCAAGGGTAGGTTTTTGAACCCTGCCGGGGGAGGGGGAATGTACCGTGGTTATGCCATTAGACCTCAAGGGCTAGGTAAGTAGTGAAATTATTTAGTGACTAAAAATACTTAAAAAATAATCTTTTAACATTGGACAATGATTCAGGAGATGATTTTTTAGGGACGATTTACGTGACTTGTTATGTAGACAGGCATATAACCCACTCGCCACATAGATCAAATTAAATAACCAATTTGGACTTGCCATGTAAATGATCCTCCACTTTCGTCCCACAAAAATGGTCCGCTCTATCATTATCCTTTTACATTTTATGACTTTACTATAATTCCTATAATCACATATTAGTATCTTACGTTAAGATGAAATATATTAAAGGAAGATTTAGCTATCATATTTTAAGTTCAGATCTACTTGTAATATTAATTTAGACATTTATTTACCCTTTAGATGCATTAATTGTATCAGTCTATGATTTGATTATAATTTGTGCTATTGGTTTGTTTCTTTGTTTTTATATATTGGTTATATGACAAATCATAAATATATTGTAATTCTTCTCTTATATATTAACATATCTTTGATTATATATATATATATAAAAGACAGTTTACAAAATTTAGAAAATTTTAATTGCATTGAGTTTTCATTTAGTTTGGTTTTGATTTTTAGTTTTTTGTTATGATTTTATAAATTTTGTGATTTTAAATTTTAAACAAAAAATTCATTTACTTTTGAATGTTTTTGTAATATTTTATTATGATTACTAAAGAAATAAAAACAAAAATAATCTCAATACTATTAAACAAATTTATATTTTTTATTTGCAATGTTAACACTTATTTTAAACAAATTATTAGTTTTTAACTTTTAATAATTACAAAATTTAGGATAACTAGAATTAGAAAAAAAAAAAACACTATATATACTCCCACTAAACCGAATTTAAGTCTTTATTATATTTTCTTTGGAAATACATATTAAATTTTTTAACATGTACATTAAATGATGTAATTATTATAATTTTTTTATATTAAATAATATTAAAAAATACAAAAATTATTAATAACTTTATTAATAATATCACATAAATTATTTTAATTAAATAATTATTTAAATAAAATTAATTTGTATTTTCACAATACTAATTAATATAAAAACATACAATCATTATATTTTTAATATATGCCTTTTAACTGAGAAAAACTCATACATATTAACTGAATAGAAATACTTTTCACCGTTTAAATTACACAAAATTAACCATTATTGGAGGAAAGTCCCATAGAGTAACCTCCCATCAACGTCCGGTGCAGTTGGGACAGAAGAAAAACATTCCGTTGAAATTACGACACTTTCGCAGTGACCAAAGCAAACGACTCTTACCCGCAGATTCATTTACTTTGAAACAAAATGGTGCAGATTCATAGGAATTAATTATAACTGGAATATATGAGAGGAACAATGTATTAATTAAATGGGCATTAAGTCACCAGAATCATCCAAATTTTAAAAGAATCCTTAGTGCCGACAAAAAGA